CGGCGCCCGTCTGCCTGGCGTGTTACTCGCCCGCCGCCGATTACAGGTGTTCGGCGTGTGGGTGGCCGGTTTGCGGGCCGCCGTGCGAGGCCGCGCCGGCGCATCGGGACGCCGAGTGCCGGCTGATCGGCGGCCATTACGACAGCCGCCGGTCGGCCGCGTACTGCTTCGTGATGCCGCTTCGGTGCATGCTGCTGCTGCACCAACCGGACGGTCGTCGGGCCGCTGAGTTCCGGTCGTTACAGTCGCACCTGGACGACAGGCTGGACACGCCGCTGTACCGGGCGTACGCCGTCAACGTGGCCGCGTTCGTGCTGGACCGGCTGGGCTTGCGGTCCGCGGGCCACCCCCACGACCACCGGTCTGCCCTCGAGGCGGCCGCCGTGCTAGACACGAACGCGTTCGACGTGCGCCGACCGGGTGGCCGGAACTTCCGGGCAGTGTACGCGCGCGCGTCCATGATGGCCCACTGTTGCACGCCGAACACCAAACACGTGTTTGTCGGCGACGCGGCCGACGGTCAGCCGTCCATCCGCGTGATGGCCGCGGTGCCCATAGCTCGCGGCCACCCCGTCACGGCCACGTACACGCAGACGATGTGGTGCACGCGCGACCGGCGCCAGCACCTGTTGGCCGCCAAGTGTTTCGAGTGCGCGTGCGCGCGGTGCACCGACCCCGAGGAACTGGGCACGCACATGGGCTCGGCGGCCTGCGGCGGCCAGTGTCGGAACGGTCTGGCCACGGCGGCGGGCCGGTGGCTCTGCGCGACCTGCGGACGACCGGCCGCCGACGTCGATGCGGTTCAGGCGCTCCGAGCCGTCGGAGAGCTTACTAAGAGTCGCGACTGCACCGGATTCGAAAGGTTCTTGGAACGGGTCCGGGACGGTACGATGCCGCCGCTGCACGACAACCACCACGTCACGGTGGGCGTCAAGTACGCACTGACCCAGCTGTACGGTGACCGGATTTCGGGTAAACTGGCTGACCGCAACGAGTTTTTCAACCGATACGGTTCACATTATACCAGGGCTTAACTTTATTAGGGCAAACGTTATAATAACGTTATGGTTATAACGTTATATTTGACAAAAAATCGATTGAAATTTGTAAACGTAATTATAACGGAAAACGATAAAAATAAACAATTAAATAACACAAAACAAAATATATGACATATTATCATCAAACAAAACAACGAAAAACGTAATATATATTTATATATATATATTATATATTATATTATTAATTTCCAATTATTTAATAGTTATAAATCATAAAATATACTAAACATTTTAACTCTGAATAACGTTAAACGCAAAAGTATTGAATAACGTTTAAATTCTGAATAACGATAAATTTAAAATGTGTATAACGTTTTAATCGTAAATATCTTTTCATATGCAAGCCCTGCATTATACTAATAAAGACCACGAAAATAATAAATTTAAAAATCTTTGAGGGAGTGCTGAGGTCAAAAATTCGAAAGAAAAGCGATTTGAAGATTAAAACTGTAGGCGGTAATATTATAGTATAATAGTGAATATTCGCGAGCAATTAAGTGGGAGGGAGTGACCTATAGATTTACACTTACGCGCGTATTATAATCGTGCACAACATTATCTAGTTGTCGGTAAAAAATTTAGAAACAACAAAACACTGAGTTTTAAAAAAAAAATTACTCGTGATTTAAACTTTTGTGAGAATGATTGAAAACGACCGAACCAATTTACGCATAAAAAATACTTTTTTATAATTATAACTTATACTTACCATTGAGAAAACTAAGAAAATTCGAGTTAAACATTTTGAATTTTAGTGGTTATAATTTCTATCACGGTGTCCGCACTGTATATTATTATATTTGTGTGCGTCTTTTAATAGAATAAGTGACGAATGATTTATTCATCGGATTTTTTAATTATTGTTTTGTGCAGATCTGACCGCGAAACAACTGGAAAACAATGCGAACATATGTGAACAACTGTTGCGGCTGGCCGACGTCCTGGAACCGGGAATCACGCGATTCCGGGGACTTCTGCTCTACTATCTGGTTCGCGGTCTCAAACAGCTAAAGCGGATAAAACACAGATCGGTCGGCGTTTTTCATTTACCAAAATATTTAGATATACAAATATAAAGACATATATAATATTGATTGGAGTCCAATGTACGTCCATGTTAATGGTCTGCGGGGATGCTTTTTTCGTATGAAATACGTTTTGACATTCTATTAAATATTACACCGAACTGTGTATACCATGTAACAAAGTTAGGTTATTATAAAGCCTATAATATTTTATACAATTTGTTAAAAGGTTCAAGTCATATAGAATCTATATTATAGATTATACCTAAAATATAAAAAAAAATGAGACTTATTTTTCTTCGTAACTTATTACCGAATCTACATAGATTTTTTTTAAAAAAACAAACTTTTTTAACACAATATTATAGTTTTAATTAAATTGAATTAGGTTTAGAGATTAGACAAAATTATGACACATTAAAACGGGCCTTTTTACAGTTCCTAAATATAATAAAATAATTTTTAAATAAATATAAACATTTTAACCAAGCTTGTCAATCTAATGGTATCTTAATATACCTAGATAGATACACAGTGGGTTTGGAGATAGGGATTCATGTAAAATTATGAGCGAACAATTGTTTTTAAAAGGTAACTCGAAATATTTCTGTCTGGTGATTTCAGACTGAAACTCAGAAAAAGTTTGGGTAATACTGCTAATCACCAAATTTTTTTAGGATTTTCAAATATGTTGCCCTTTCGTTGTGCTTATGTGCACTAAAACTTTTTTTAAATAGTAACACGTAATATAATACCAATTTTTTTTTTTTAATCAATTAGATTTCTTAATTATAGTTCCAAAATCAAAATTGATAGAATTACAAAAAGTCAATGTTTGAAATAAAATTATTACCAACACGCGCGAATTTTCAATATTTCTCGTTTTTTTATCCCAACTTGACCCTATAATAATTCAGTCAGTTTTAATTTGAATTATCGTCTTAACAAAAAAAAAAAAACCATGCACATACACATAATTAAAATGCAAAACATTTTAAAATTGCCATAAAATGGCGTGTATGAAATATATTAGTGTTTTTCTATCACCGTCTAAAAACGACGCATTTTATTTTGATGTCACTTAGTACCAATATTTCGTGTTACCTTTAAAAAATAAAACTACTGTATAAATGCATATACATATGTACTATATTTATTCATTTAATACAACTATAATATAAATTATTATTATTATAATGCAGAACAACAACAAGATGATCAAAAATTATGCCAGAGAAGCGGTGGCCATTCTGAAAACCGAACCCGATCTGGTGCATTTGGTCGAACAGTTACAATGACAACGATTGTCTCAAAATGTCTACTCTTTGATCACCGTCAAATGTTAACGCCGTAGTATAATGGCAGTGTTCCATTAATTTTATAATCGATAGTACTTTTATGTTATCATTATATTGTCACGATAATAAACCACGAGTGCAACGTTGCAGGAACTTAAAACCATTCGTTCATACTCGTATTATATTATACTTTTGTACTAATATGTATTTCCCATTGAAATCGTAACTTATTTTACAAGTTTAAAATGTTTATAGTTAATTGTTAATTTTAAATGAAAAATAACTTATAATTTCGTTTCGAGTATTGAATTTCAGACACTAAATACATTTGAAATCAATAGCTTGCATTGGTCATTGATACTACAAAAGTGTATTATTAGTATTTTGCTTGATCATTAGTGTTACAGTGTATTACGTATTTGTGACATCTAAGGAGTTAATCATCGAACTAAAAAAATGCTCAAAAAATTATTCATCTGTCGTTGACGCTAAATCAACATAGTATACTATAATTCAGAGTTACTAACCCAATACTAATAAAATGTCGCAAAATTGGTTTTGGAATGAATACGAATTATACGCGTGTAATAACAATATATTCAATATTCATCGCTATGTTTATTTAAAGACTGAATTCATTCGGCGAGTACAAAACGGCCAACATCGAATCGCATAATGAACACTTGCCAACTATAATACCGAAATACGCGTACATCGATTTTGCAGCATTAAAAACGTTTTCAATAAAACCGTCTTAAAATATAACAATATTAGCGCACAATGCCATTTGAAAAGAATACATAAATAGGTATCTACGTGCACAGATAAATATTATAAAACGAAGGTCGACTGTCTATGACGGCCTTTAAATAATATAATATTTTAACTTATTTTTTTTTCTGTTGTACATAAATGTCTATTTTAAAGTACGCCATTTAAGCGTATACATAGAATTGTACATAATATAATATTATAATGTAGATATTTTCGTTACCGTGCCACAAACGCGGTTTATGTGCGTAATTTCAGTGGTAGGTATAATAAATAATTATAAGTAGGTACAGGTACGCGTATATTATTCCAAAATGATTTACACAGATTTCTAGTTACTACTGAACAACGGCAAGAACATCGTTATATATTTATTTAAGATCATTCAAACATTTAAATATTAATATATATATATGTATATAATAAAATAAAATATATTATGTACATTCTCTATCTTTCTAATAATATCGCATTCTATGAAATTAAAATCAATTAAATCTAAATAATTAACTAGTCTACAATTTACACTATAATATATAGGTACTATGTAAAATGATTATCTTTTGCACATAATAATAGTCTAATCATTAGTGATGATGTGATGAGCTTTATTCGAGTGCGACCGAATCCGAACCTGACTTTCTGCAACGTCTTATTCGTACAGATTTTTAAATTTTTAAACCAAACTTGAACTTAAAAATATTTTTTAACTTGATTTAGATGATATATTTTTTTATGCGCAATTATGTACATTTTATAAAGTCCGGTATTAATATTGGGTTATCAAAATAAATCATAAATATTTTAATATAATTAAATTAAATTATTAATTCGGACCAATTAGCTATTTACTATTTAATTTTTACTATTTTTTACACGTATTTGATTTCGTCAAAATATTTGAAATTTTCAGTTGTTTTTTTGAATCAAATAATACACGAGTTCGATTTGTGACATCATCGCCTAATAACAATAGTGTAAGACAAAAACGACCAACTCATAATACATTTTTTTTTTTTTTTAACACAACATACAAACAGACAATAATATTATAAAACGATTGAATATTCTATGTAATAATTTTATATATAACCTGTATGATATACTTTTACAATAATAACAATATTATTATATAATCATTACAAATCGTAGATTCTACTTGATAAAGAGAAAAACACTCAAAATACTCTCAGTATTGAGTAATTAAAATTTCAAATATAATAACAATTGAACAACAATATTTAAATATTATATTTTCTAGTATTGTAGTTATGTGCGGCAAGCGAAAAGCACAGCGAAAGTCGACGCAATGTCGCCGTAACCCGCAGACGACGATTAAATATTATTAATATATCGGTCGACGCCTTTGAAAACATTATTAGTACATAATATGAAACTTTTTTTATGACGCCGTTCTGAGGACAGAAAATCAAAGTGAGAAATTTTGTTAGAGAGAGAAAAAAAGTGGGGGATAATGATAGCGTTTTCGCTAGAAAAACATCATTCAACGCACATATTTACGAATGAATTTCATGTGGTCTCGGTATCGTCATGATAAATACACCGCACAATACGCACATATTATAATATATTATAATGTTAGGATGACCACATTTATAAAAATAAAATAGCGAGACAAACTATATTGACTAAGTTGGGAAAAAAAAATTCTAACTATTAGGTTTTGATGTCTACTATTTCATTGTTTTATTGTTTTGAAGAAGGCGTGTGGTATGTATTTGTTAAAACTAAAAAAATATCTTTTTGATTTTTATTTCTTTTAGAGGGGTTTTCTTTTACTAATATACGACACGTTTTGCATAATTATATTGAGAAGACGGTTTAATTAAAACTGGATAAAAAGCGTCATGTTCGGAGTTTATCTAGACAGGGTTAATAATAAAATTACAATATCAAAATCTGAAATCTGATAAAAACATTGCGATAAATATTGCGCATTGAAGTAAAAATTAATAATTATTTTATAATATAAGGAATAATTTTCTGACTTAGTGCGACCTTGGTAGTAATATTAATATAGTATCATCATGGCGAGATGAGCTTTATATACGACATTATTATTATTATAGTTGTTTGCTAAAAAATGTTCGTTGAATAGTTGAAAACAGAATAGATATTCGTAGATAAAAAAATATCACTATAATTTGTTATCCAAACAAAAAATAAGTTATAGGAGGCAATTTGATGTATACATAATGATTTGTCAAATATTTATTTGATCAGTCTCTCAAATAATGCATTTATGTTTAAATTTAGAACTTTTTAGAACTTTTTATTACACAACTAAATATACTAATTCACATTTTTGAACACTTAGATTTTATTTACCATTTAGGATAATATAATATGTCATTCAATAGTAATACAATATTTTTTTTCATATGAAAACTCCATTGTTTAACTTTAAGACGAAGAAGAGATGATTATTATTATTATTTTATTTTTTTTAATATGTTGATAATATTTTTCTGTAAATTATTTGTAAACTACAGATGATTTGTTTGAAAATATTGATGTACTTAAATTAAATTTCAAACGAGTAGTTTTTGAGTAATTGAACTTTGTGCAATAAAATTATTAGGTTATATATTTGGAAGATAAATCTTAGTTATAATTATTTGAAAATTTTACAGTAAAACTATAAATATATATTTTATAATTTAAAGTGTATTTTTATTTATATAATTTATATATGTATATTTATACAATACATACTTAATTTAAAGTCATGTTATTAAGGACTATTATTATTTATTTTGTTAATACATTTTAATAACTAAAAACTATTCATTAGTATTTCGATTTATGTTTTATACATAGCGTTCAGTTATTCTCACAAAAATTGTTGTTATTAAAATGTACTTACAGAGGGAAAAAAAGTTTAAACTTTACGAGTAAATCCTATGATTTTACATCTATTATGAAATATATATATTATTATATAATTAAAATACATCATAAATTATAAAATATAGTTTTCAAACTATATAATAGCTTGGATTTATCTTCTAAATTGAATTACCATAAAAAACATCCTTAGAACCCAAAGTTAAATTATTTAAAAACTTTTCGTACTCATTTTTTATTAAGCTTATCAATATTTTTAAATGAATCTTTTCGAGTTCAATTATTTTATTATTTATAGTATTTATAGTAAAAAGTGTAGTTTTTATTTGTATCAGTATCAGCACACGAAACTACTTAAATACTAAATAGTATCTAAAATCTAGGTAATTTAAAATGTGATCTTTATTGGATTTAAATCAAAATTCAAAATGTATATGAATGTATGATTTTTAGGAAAAATCTAGTTAAGTTTTTTCGATTAATTGACCTGTACCTACATAGTATAATATAACAAAAAATAATATTATATGTGAGACGTGGATGCGTTTTCGGGCACCTAATAATTATTGTATAAATTAAGCGGTTAGCGTTGTATAAGACGAGTGGTAACGTCAGTCGTTGTATCGGTAGTTGCGATAATATAATATTATTTTGCATACAATATTAAAGCTAACTTATTAATAACAATATCATAATAAATTGTTGTTGAAATAAGACGCCACTGGAAAATCGAGTGTGGACGTGGAAGCCGCTACTGCGGGTTTGCCAAATTCCGTCCAGCGACTGACCGCGGCGGTCGGCGGCTGATGGTATCCCATGGAGGCAGAGGAAGTTGTGGCGGCAGTGCCGGTTGGTGGTTGTGTCGTCGGTGGATGTGGTGGCAGGGTCGGCGGCAGACGTAGTTTGCTCGGGTTAGCCGCAAATTCGTTGTGCGCTCCGTAAGCGACAGCGGCGGCGGACGGGTTGAATCTATAATAATAATATTATAATACACGTTCGGAGCAAAAACATCAGAAAATACTAACACACCGAACGTATTTCAAAAACACCGCAATAAATAATTATTTGTACTACGATATCGACATCGTTTCATTTACGCGTCATTATACAGAGTGATTCATTTCAAGCAAGCTTCTCCAATTTTTTTTTTTCTATAGTAGTTGATATTTTACTCAAATTTTGTGTTTATTAATTTCTTTAATACGATGTCTGAGAAGATTTTTTTTAACCACTTAAGAAGTGTCCTATGGCTATTAAAATTTATTTTTATCAAACGAGAAACAATCTTTTTCACTGTAAATGGTTAAGCAGATGCTTTTTTCTCGAAAACGCTGTTGCATTTAAATAAAAATTCTAACTCCTTCAAAATCGTTTAACAAAAATATAAAACTTGAATATTTTTATCAAATTTTAGACGTTGATAGACTAATATTTAATATAATTAATTAAGTAGGTATACTTAATTTTTTTAATTACCCTAGCACTCGTATACCTCCCAAATCCATTATTATAGACTTATTTTAATCCTTATTATTTTTAATGCTGTACAAGTTAAATTACTTAAAAAATACAAGTTGGAATTTTTATTTCGATTCCTACGTACATCAACATGATAATTTACAGTAAAAAAGGTAATTTCCATGTGAAAAATGAACTTGACATTGCCTACACAGATCACTCTTATAGGACTTAGATAGTATAAAATATTTAGTTATTTTAAGGCATGGTTTATAAGTAAACTGAAAAATTTAAAAAATCAAAATAAGAATTATTTAATTTTTAAAGGAAAAATGGGATAAACTTACTTGGTAAATCACTCTGTATAATATACCTACTACACAGTACACACAGACATTTAATCATCTCTCTCTTTACCACTCCTTCCCATCTGTATAGTTTGTGCAAACCAATAATTAGTCAGGTTTATGCGACGTATACGATTTTTAAGTTTAAATATATAAAAATAAAGGGAACTAATGCAGTCATCAAAACAAAAAAAGTGATGTTTATATCAAAATATAAATATTATCGCACCCGTCAAAACCGTAAGACGTTAGTTTAACGAATTTAATATTGGAAACATATTTTGGATTCATATTGACATGTTTACCGCATGTTTTAACCACAACGATTTTAATACTAAAGTTGACTTTTTTTTATTCAAAATTCACAAAAGGAGAGAGAAACATTTGAGTTATTAAAAATTTCAAAATTATCAAAAACCGATTAGAAAGTTTTTTAAGAACTGTTCATACTTGGAATATTGATCTTTTCAAGATTCCAAGATTTGAGTTACTGAAAGCTGAAAGTATTTTTTCAATAGAACTATAATCAACGGACGTGAATAAAAATGTTATTTTTATATTTTAATCTTCCTACATTTTTTAGCTATGATAAAAAAAGTTTTTAGAATGTTGAAAATTACTGCGATTATAACATATAACAAGCCTGTTATTTGTCGATAAAGCAAAAACCATCTAACCTTAATTATACGGAGTTCGCAAGGACATTTTTAATCATTTTTTTAAACTGTTTTGAGAGGATAAAAAAAGTAGCAGTTATTTAATATACGCGTTCCAAATAACCACATGTCATGGGTGACGCCACCATTAGTTACTTAGTGGCGTGTGGTTAAAATGTGATTTATATAAAACTTTAAATTGCTTTTAAGACTAGAGTTCATCATTAGTAAATTAATGTTTTTTAATCACTATAAAATGTATTTAAAAAATGTCCTCACATTGTGCTTGCAAAAATTGTATGCGTCACTGTTTGAACTTTTTAAGTTGAACCCCAACCCACCGATTTTCCTCTAAAATATAACTAATAATATAAAATTAAGAAATATTTTTAGATATCTCTAAAAAAAAAAACTTCCATATTATAAATTTGTCTCTATTTTTTTCATCATTTATTCATATTTGATAAAATAGCTTAAATATAAATTTTGAATTGCCCTTTATACTTACGTACGAGTAAATTGTCCTTAAGCAATAACAAAAACAGACTTTAAGTACAACTGTATATTTAAACTTTGACTTAAAATACTATGTTAGACAATTACATGTATGCTCCATGTATGGTTAACACTCCACACAGTCCCATAACTCTCAACCGTTTTAATAGTAATGAAAACAATATTTTAACTATGTTGCAATAATTTGAAGTTTAACAAAAAAAAAAAAGTACCTACTACCATCTGTCATAATATACGTTTTAAATTTCTTGGTACTTTTAGTTCGGTACGACTGCGATAATATTAATTTATTTTTGCATGTTAATTCGAGCATTACGAATATCTTATACAATGTGAAATAATTTTAAAGTAAAAACAGTTTGTGATCACAATAAAATTATTTTTAATTCCTAAAATATCTAAGTATTAAATTACCTATATAAGTTATAAAATTTTAAAACAACATTATACGCCCATTGAATTTTGTCTTTCATAATGTTATTAGAGAATTTACTAAAATATCATCTACCTATATTCCATGTATAATGATCGAATTATTTGATTGTTAAATATGTTATTATAATATTATTATGATGACACATAATTTATTCAAATTCAATGAAATATGTTTGCACACTGTATATTTTCGTAAGAATTTGTTAGTGAGGGTTTTGATAATAGTTATAAAAATGTTCTAACATGTCTCCATATTGGTGAGCCGCGTTGGTCCGTGCAGTTTGCTGGTGGTATTCATCCCACGCTGACCCGTCGTAGTAACCGTTGTACTGAGCGCCAGGTTGGAGCCTCCAATCGGATGTGCCTGAAAATACAATTTTAATCGTAAAAATAGTAAAATAGATAACGTAATTGGACACAACCACATTGTATGCTATTGAAACACCATGACAAGGTGCGTTAGGAAATCGAAAAATTTTGTATCGTATAGCGCTATCTGTACGCCAAAGTCTAAAACATCAATTTACACTTAACATCACTAGGTTACGTTATAAATACACGGCAATGTCCGTAACTTACTACAATATATTAATATTATTACATCCCTAGAATACTATTATTATTTGGTCCACTAGAGGGTAGAAGAATCCTAGTTTTAAATACGATCTCGTAAACAGCATAATAAAATGATAAAATTACCACACGACTAACCAGCGAATAAAGCACCATAATATTATTATGACTTATGATGGTTACAATAATACGTATATTATTATTAATATTATCTATGGTTTAAAATACACGAATATCATTAAATATATGTTTATTGGATTCGTCACTATGCCTATGACCTAAATGAATCAATAATATAAAAATATGGTAATTTAAAATATATATTTTATCAATCGCATATAAATAAAGAAAACCAAAATGAAATAGGGTAATGATCGGTTTTGCAATGATAGAACATGATTAATTTCGATAAATAAATTTTTCATATCTAAGTATAAATCCCGTTAATTTTTGTTTCAATGTATATTTCTTTATGTATTAAATCAACCTTATCTTTAAGTGTGCATATTCAATGCGTTTTATTACTTTTAAGTCTTAAATTATAGGCGTAATCTTTAAGCACTTTCAATAATTATACACATATAGTATTTTTCAAACGTATTTTTCAATGTTTGCTTAAATAGTGTCATCCATAAAATCTTGTCATATATTAAGTATATATACCTAATTCAAGAGTCGTGATAGTAGTAAAATCGAGAAATTTAATGTCACAAAAATGTATCATAAACAGTAATGTAAATTTGAAGAATGAGTACTTTGTTTAAATTAAGTAGCTACCTATTAACAAAATATATTCTTTCGTAGTACCTATAGATTATACTGCCTATAATAAATAATTAAATATTGGTAGTAGTGTTAATAGATGATCCCTTCCCTTATGTTTTTCAAGTATTCTATACATGTTAACTAATTTATATATTGTATTAACTGTGTATACAGATTGTAAATATCTTTTAAAAATAATAATAACAAAAAAAAAAATAATAATAATAATAAAATAAATAAATAATCATTTCAAAACGCTTTTAATTGACAAATCTATGTGATGCAAGTAATTTGTACATCATTAAAATCTCTTATAGTTGTACTTTTCACTGTATATTAAAAGAAAAGGTTTGATTTTCTAGATGTTTCTAGTTTTACCAATAATTTTATAATGCATTATATGGCCCTTTAAAATTCAAGAAAATACGAATACAATAAAAAAAACAAAATAAGCTTAGAAACAAACATATTATTAAGTAAAAAATAATGGTTTTGATATGTCTAAGTGAAGTGATAGGATTTACTGTCGCACAAAAGTTATATGCCTATTACTAATAAATCATTGTTTTAAAATAAACAGTAGTTATATATAACATGTCAGTGGGTAACTAATCAGACATCTAATGTCTAGACAACATTATCATACCTACCGTAATGATACAAGAGTTAATATATTCCATTACGATATCTATATTCTTAATTTATTAGACGTCGATGGTATTTAAAAATATATGTAAAATCGTAGTGTATTATCGAAATTACCAGTGTAGGAAGGTGCGTTGAGGTTCTCAGAAAAATTGCTGCTGATTGTGTTGTGCTGTACGTTGGAACTATTCTGTTTTCTCCATCTCGCTCTCCGATTGCTGAACCACACCTGAAACAAATTTAAAGGTTTTTTTTAATATTCCGAGAACAGAAGTCGTATATAATTTTCTAGTAAATTTAAAATAAAATAGTAAAAATTTGATTATCCAACCGAAGTAATGACAATATAAATGCATGCAATGCACGTTAAATATATTTTCAATATTAACGTCAATCATTCATACATACAAATGATTACATCATATTTAGATATTACGTTGTATTATATGAGCCATCACACGTGTGAGTACATATATAATATATTATATGTTGTTGAAATAGGCATTTATATATATATATATGTAAATACATTATACATATAGCCATATAGATATTTTAACAACAATCCGTAAAATAAATTTTATGAATTGTACTGTTATACGCTTCACTTTTTCGATTTTAAGCGTCTTATGTTATATTCAGATATTCAGTGATCAGTCGGTTGATGGTTTGAGATCGGATTATATTTTCAAAAATACCGTCACAAATATTATATTTTTACGACGACACCAACATGACATTTAGTACATAATAATCGCTTTGACATTTATATATAATATGCCCGCCCAAGACATATATTATTATAACATACATCTGAAGTGGTCTTCAACCGTATTGGACTCGTGAGTCGTGGCCCATTTTAGTCATTATTAATTATTTGTGACCCAAAAAGAAATTTGTTTCAGTATTAATCAATAATTTATACTCAGTTCCGATTTTTTAAATTTATTTAGAATTATTTTCATTATGTTTATATCACATTTACTTTGCATAGTTGAATGAAATATTTTTTTTCTATTCTAACTATACAGTAAGACTTATCTAGTTCGACTTACATAGAACCAGACGGCGTGGTCAGATGTATGTATGTTTTTTTAATCATTAAGTGTTTATCACAGCCACAGATTGTAAACCTACACTCAAATGTATAATGGTTGACAACTCGATGTATACATATCTTAATTATTATTGTTCTATGTTATGGGGTACATAAGGGTAGCTTTATTACTTGGACTCGAGGTTCCGGAAGTCCAAATTTCACGGCGAGATTTTCACGGGCAGCTATGTCCGGGTACTGACAAGCCAAAAACGACCTTTCCAAACCTTCCAGTTGTTGGGCTGTGAACGCTGTCCTTCCTCTTCTCTGTTTTCTGGATATGACGATGCCCGGTTCCGACGGCACGTCCACGTCGCCGGTTCTTCCTGTAAAACGTGTATTTTATTATAGTACATATTATTTTACCAATATCGTAAAATGATTTAATATTAATTATTATAATTTATAGGTATACAATATAAACACCAAAAAAAATGTACTCAATATTTTTGTAGCTATTTTTATTATGTATTTTTACGTGGCCAATGAAATAAAAACAAATATAACCTTATATCACTAAATATACTATAATTCACAATATATATATATACAATATACATATTATGTGTCACCGCGAACATTATGACTATGTGTATATAAACCGGATAAACAGGAATATCTTTAATATTAAGATAGAATGATTTTTGATAGTCACTTTTCAATCTTAAACAATTATAGATATAATATAAAATATAAGGTATTAATAATAAAGACTTTTACATTGTCATTAAGAGTGAAATTGTACTATTTACTTCATTAATAACGGATCATGCATGGAAATTTGATTAAGAAATTTGTGTAAGATATTTTATAATGAGAATTCGAGTATTAATAAAATATTATAAATATTTATAATTCAATTAATTATTATTTAGGTATGATATTGAACAAATTGATTTAAAAAAAAAAAAGGTAAGCTAATGGGTACCACTTAGCTGTACAACAGTAGACTTTAAGTAAGTTATTAGTTATTACAATAAATATATATTATTATTTATTATGTTAAACATGAATTCAATGATATATTATTGTGTACGAAAAATGATTTTGAGTGGTAACTCAACTTAAACCACTAAGTATATATTTTCATGTCGTATTTTTTTTATATTGCTATTAAAGTAATTTGTTTTACTATGAATATTACCGTAGGTTTAATTAATTTTTGCCAAAAACAATATTACGCTCGATAAATTATTAATATTTAATTATTATAATAATATATTATTGCTATTAACTTTTGAATCAATACCATCTCACCATAAACACAGTGTGAATAGAAATAATATCTAAAAAAATATGAATTTACATATTTTGAAAATGTCGTTATGTAGAGTAAAATTCAAAATATACATCAAAATGTAAAAGTTCCCACGAATAATGTTTTTGAGTTGTATCAAAAAATCAAAATTGTTTTAAAATGCGATTTTATCCAAACTAATGAAGAAATAATTTTTGACAAATACTGGTTTAGCGTGACACTTATAGTGTTTTCTATTTTTTTTTCTCAGATTTTATTGATTATTAAAAAAAGTACGGAATCATTTTTAATTTTGATGCTTCAATATACCAATTTGATCAAAATTTCTTCTAAAAACCAACCCTTAGGCCTTAACTTAAAAATCGAATCAATTTAGTGTTAACAGACAAAAAAATATACACACACACACGCACATTATTATAAAATCAATAAATTCGTCGCGTTGTTCAAAATCAAAAATGTGTATAATCCATTTAAATAGTCATATATCGTATTTAAATTCGTACGAATTAATAGTTTTTTTTTTTTCATGTCAAAATGTAAAATATTTTATTTTTTTTTTAATATTTGTGACTTTTTCCGTTTACCAACTATACCCATATATTACAGTATTACACATATCAATAAAACAATATAATATTATTATATCGTGTATTTTTTTATAATATACCTTATAAATATGTGTATACATCATGGAAATAGAACCTGTATTGAATATGCGTCTAAATATTATGGTCCGAACACAGCTTATGCAAATATTTACCTCCGTAACACGACTTATTCAATTTTTTTGTATATAGGTGCATTACAAACCCCTAAGTAAACATATCCGTAGAATACCTATTTATCACGTGTATGGCTTATTATTATTATCATTATTTTTTTTTAACTCGTGGTTTTTTCACATTACAGTTACGAGGAAGACAGCGAATAAATCGGAACAAATAACGTGCATGTACCCATATGTACCTATGCATATATATATATAATACAATTATGTTGTGCGCGATATTTCATTATGTTCGACTACTGCGGCAACGATGTGCATATTATTGCGAAGGGAAAGACGGCGACGGACCGGACCGTGTGAATTCGACTGCTCGCCAACAGGTTGCACCTACATATACACAGTACGCGTGTAATGGTATAACACATTATTATAGACATCCGTCGTGCCAGCCGGTGGTCCTTTTTGACTCCGTCGATGTTTCGTATAATGCACGACGTGAATGACATTATATATGTATTCAACGCGAATATAGAATATATTATATTAGTATTATTATGTACAATACGCGGTGCACTCGGATCTCTTATTGAAGAACGTCTATAATACGTGTCATGTCCGCAATGAATGAATATTATTATACATACATATAATCGACGTATGTTGTTTTCAGTGAGTATCATACTATAATATAATATTATATTATATGCCAACGAATACGCGTGTATCTATACTACCGTGGTCCGTGGTGGTTGAGCAATATATGTGATTTCACCCATCGGTAAATAATATAATATTATTGTTTCTATTATACTGCAGACAGATCGCCTGCACCGAGAATAGAAGACGTACAGGTATTTCACACAAAGCGCGTTTTATCGGAAAGAAATGAAAAAATAATAAAAACATTGTCCCTTTTTAGAAAGGAAAAAAAATCAGGAAACGTCCGACTTTCACCGGTAGTGTAAAGTGTTAGTATACCGGTACAATACCTGCAGATATAATATAATGTGATTGTTGTGCAAGTCTGATCAAACGATGTTTATTTTCGCTTTGTGTGAACAAAAAACGATAAAAAATAAAAAAATAAAGACGATGGTTAACGTGTTTTGCTATATCTTATATTTACATACCACCCCAACTGTTGTTAAATAATAATAGAGATAATCCTTCTGTGGCGTGGTTGGTCGTATAATATATATTTGTGATAAATTGTGTACACATATCATAGTTTTATTGTATTTTATATCTCCGCTTGCGATTTTATTTACCAAAAAACCTTCATGTGTCAATACGGATTTCCTTTCGAGACTAATAAATTGCAGTCCAAGTATTGTTGGTCATATTATGTGTTTAATATTAAGCTCGATGTTTACTGAGCCCAATCTGTTTGTACATGGTATTATATTACATTTTATATATTATGATCGAATAATAAATTAATACTGTGTATAGTGTTGAACAAAACTATTTTATGATTTACTAATGGCTTTAAATTGGTAGTAATAATGTAGTATATAAAGACTATATTATATTACAAAGATAAAGATTATACATTATTTTATAATTTAAAATTGATAACTTTCAATAATCAAAACTACAACATACATTTTATTTAACTTTGTCATTGTGAAAAGATTGAGATTTTTCAATTCCAATGAATTTTAGTGATTTTATATTAAATTTACTTCATCATTATTGTTTTTCATTAATATTTTGTTTTAATTTTTTTTTATGAAATTATTTCAAATTATAGAATCACCTCCGACCGCAAGATCCCAATAGATTCACAGTTTTAAAATATTATATTATGAATAATTAATGCCACAAAGATAAATAGTCTAATCTAATAGAAAATGTAATTATCTCGTTATACTTTTATACTGCATTATGACTACCGGCGGTCATCTATAATTCTCAAATTTTATTCATTTGTGACCACCGTTTGCCGGTGCCCATAGTTTATCATTAGGTACTGCCCACACCACATGACTGCCGGCAACCATAAATGAATATAGTTTTATATTATTAAAATTTCTATGGCGCTACAATAATGCATCAAAATAAGGATCCTGGCGTAGTAAGAATTATTACAATTTTTTTGATATAGGTACCTATAATATATTATTTTTTTCAATTTTTTTAAATATTTAGTGTATACAAATTTGGAAAACATTGAAAAAAATGTTTGGAGTATAAAAAGTTCTTATTGAATGACCGCCGGCGGTCATATGGCGGTTAACGTGCTAAGCTTGTTCAAATCCATTATTCTAATTTAAGTAACTAAGTTAGTGAATTATTATTACAAGAAAGTCGATAAATCACATAAACATTGTTTTAATGAATTTATTGGGCAATTGCATAAACTCTAGAATAAGTACATTATTCAATCAATATTTTTATAATTTTAAAAGTCTTTATATACAAATTATTGTATGTAAACGCAAATGAAAAATCGAATATATTTTTAGTTTCTATAACATTAATACATTACATTTATGCATATTGTATTTGATAGTTATTAAGTGGAGTAATATTCTACCTGCAGTATTGTAAACATTATTTAATTCCTCCAATTGATATAGCAATAGCAGGTCATATTATGATAGAGAACAATTAAATAACAGTAAAAAAACACCAAGGTCACATTCTGTTCATAATTTCTGTAAAATTATAGTGGCATATGTTTTATGATTAAAAGATTTAGGAATTGTCGGTAAGTATCACGTGAGGCGACGGTCGACTTGTTTTGAACTTGCACGACTATGCCACATTTTGTAAAAATCTCTAAGCATAATGTTATAGCAGTGTCCGTCACAATTTTAACACAAACTTTTACCAGTCAATTGTATTATATAAAGCGAAATCTGGTTAACAAAAAAATTAAAATTAAAATTAGTTTTACAAATTATTTATCGTCATAACTACGAGTTTCATGAATCATGAGGAATATGTTATTTTTTTATGGAGGTAATATACCGGCTAATTTTATTAATAATTTATACTACGCGCGTGCTATAGTGAGATTTAAATGTTACATTACATTATACATTATATTGCACGTTATAGGTAACGTTATATAAATTCACTTTAATAATAATCAATGTTATTAGTTTTAATGATATATCGTTTCAATCGTTTTCGACGAGACGGCGCTTATTAATTCCTATACAATATTAGTATATTATTATTATTTTTTATATTATCATATTATTAAACCGTACCTATAAATAATGATCGTCCATTAGTCGCAACAGCAGCATAATAATAATAATATATCATAAGCGGTCGGTACGTGCGATATACGTCGTATTACTCGTGTTAAATAATAATGTAATGTT